CCCCCGCCACAAGACCCCGCCCCCGCGGACCCCGACCCCGCAACCCGACCCTAGCACCGCGGCCCGCACCTCGCAGTCTGACCCCTGCCCCGCACAGCACAACACGCACTCTGCGCCAGACACCAAGTGGCCCCAACCCCTGCAACCAGCCTAGACCCCCGACACTCAGCAGCCCCAAGGCCCCCACCCCACCGCTACGCACGCAAACAGTGCAGCAACACGCACTCTGTGACTCCTTGTCCCACACCTAGCAGCCCCAAGTTCCACGTGCCCCCTCAACCAGCCTGTCGGTCCCAGTATACCGCCCCATGTACAAAATACGGCAACACCAAGTCACCAATACGGCGCACATGTACACCTTCCCAAGTATAAAAAAAAAAAAAAAAAAAAAATTCTGAACGCGAAAGAAAAAAAAATAAAAAAATAAAAAAATGACGATGTGCATTTTGTTGCTTTGTCCTTTGACGGCGCACAGTACAGCACGTCGCACAACATGTGTTGTATGTCCCATAATATTCTACCAGTCGATGTGCATGGACTGGCTGCCCACAAACTTAGAAAAAAGTGCGGGGCTGAGGGCAATGAAGGCATCAAGGCATCTCATTGCTTTTGCAAACTGGAGCTTTGCAGCGGTCCATTCTGAATTTCTCAGCCACTTGACCCTTTACATTAAGGTAAGTGCAACTCACCTCAACGGTTACGGACTCTAGCTCATGCCGTTTTTATTTTCTTTTTTCTCCATTTCGACGCCACTGTAACGGAAGGGGGGTGAATGCGGTTACGAAGGCCCGTTGAAGGTTTTTTTTTTTTTTTTTTTTTCACTTTAAGACGGGTGAACCACTATGAGCGGCAATGCAATGGGGGTTTGGGGGAAAGGGGTCTATGGGTGCGAGGGGTAGGTTGAGGAAGGGGGTTCGTTGTTAGAAATTGAAATGCGGTAAAGAAGGTTCGTCATAGGGTCTGCTTTTTTTTTTTTTAAGACGGGTGAACCGCCATGAGCGGCAATCCAATAGCAGTCTATGGGTGCGGGGGGTAGGGTGAGGAAGGGGGTTGGTTGTTGAAAATTGAAATGCGATGACGAAGGCCCGTTGAAGGGTCTTTTTTTTTTTTTTTTTTTTTTTTTTTTTTTTTTTTTTTTTTTTTTTTTTAAGACGGGTGAACCGCCATGGGCGACAATGCACTGGGGGTTCGGGGGAAAGAGGTCTAAGAGTGCGGGGGGTTGGTTGTTAAAAAATGAAATGCGGTGAAGAAGGCCCGTCGTAGGGTCTGTTTTTTTCTTTTTATAAGACGGGTGAACCGCCATGAGCGGCAATGCAATGGAGGTTAGGGGGGAAAGGGGTCTATGGGTGCGGGGGTTAGGTTGAGGAAGGGGGTTGGTTGTTGAAAATTGAAATGCGGTAAAGAAGGTCCGTCGTAGGGTCTGTTTTTTTTTATATTATAAGATGGGTGAACCTCCATGAGCAGCAATGCAATGGGGGTTAGGGGGAAAGGGGTCTATGGGTGTGGGGGGTAGGGTGAGGAAGGGGGTTGGTTGTTGAAAATTGAAATGCGGTGACGAAGACCCGTCGAAGGGTCTGTTTTTTTTTTGTTTTTTTTTTTTAAGACGGATGAACCGCCATGAGCGGCAATGCAATGGGGGTTGGGGGAAATGGGTCAACGTGTGGTGGGGGCGGGATTGGTTGGTGAAATGCGGTGACGAAGGCCCGTCGTAGGGACTGTTTTTTTTTTTTTTTT